AAATAAACAGTTATTTGTTTATAAGTACTCTTAAAAGTACTGTTAACAGAAAATCTTTTTCTTCATAATCGACATGAGATCGCATTTTACACGATCGTTTGTATAATCGTATGGAAAGCATAACAATTCCCTATTTAAATACATTACAAATCAAAATATTATTTCTAAAAAGTTTCGATTTCGAACTTGGGCAACGTGAATGTCCTTCGCGAGTAGTAAAACGCATATTTACATGGTATATTTATGTATACATTGTAACACATTGGTACTTGTTCTGATTTTCGTATTAAACTGGTTTTGCCACAATCGACAATGTTGATATTATAATATAAATTATAATAATATCAATACGTACACGTTTATGTATAAATATAAGTATTTACTATTTACTGAAACTAACGTTGCACGTACCTATTTATGCCAATGAAACGGGGTTATTTCATAACTATTCCCAGTACACCAACATTTATGCGATCGAGTTAAGGCGAATATTTTTACGTCATATGGCCATGCGCTGACAAATAATCATATTTCCTTTCCGTGAACGCGATCATTAACTACTTATATACATATTAGATTCCTTCATTGGAATACCTGCTGCATTACGCACGGTCATCATTTATGAGCTAATTGACGCTTAATCGTTGCGATTTTGTTGAAATAACAAGTAGATACATAATGTTCAATTATTATTATGCAAATATTCCACCAGACAGATCATGCAAGTGCTAGCTGAATCGGGAAAAATAGTTTGCCTTGATTATAAGTTTATAGATACCTAAGTACTTGTTGTTGTTTTTTTTTTTTTTTAATGGTGAAAGCATAAGTAAAGTGATGATTCTCTCCAAAACCATTGCACATCAGGGCGATTATTAACTGGGCCGAGAAAAAACACTGTTTAATAGTCCTATTGTTTATTCAGCCCTAATTTTCTTTCATTTCAGATTGATAAATGAACTCTACTCGATTAAAAAAAAAAGACCCTGATATTCTTAAATTGAATTATAGGTATAAATTTATAACATTTTTAAGGACCATTTGTCCATCAAATATTACCCAACGTACCCCCGGGTGGAAATTCTTATTATCCTCCAAAAATTATATCATAAAACTAACAATTGATAAACACGATTGTTAAGTAAACAAAATATATAATTATTTTTAAATATAGTTAAAATAAAAAATGTATAACCAAATGTATGTAATTTATGACATGAGGTATTAAAAGTTTAAATATATATTAAAATATAATGTAGTCATATAAAATATATTTTATATGCTGAAACATATTATCCATTATTCAGTTAAAACACTGTCAAATAACTCAAGTATTATTTTAAAATATAGAAATAAGGGATGGAACAGTTAGAGAGAGGTAACAAGATTTCAGGGAGCTAAGACCTTTCCAGAAATGTCCATCAATGACACTTATATCTAATAGTACACAATATATATCTACGTAATGTTATTATTGTATAAAATATATATACATATTATATTTAGAATAGTGTATTCTTCCAGTTACTAAATTTGAGCCAAGTTCATAATTATCTTACATGATATTCAAGTATAATTAATTTATAATATTATTCACATATAAAGGTATGTAACACTCTCGATGTAATACTATTATAATAAGAAAAAACGCAGAAAACTTTTAAAATTGTTGTTGTTTAAAAACGTACAATATGTAGGTATACTAAAATTATAATCCGACCATAGTAGCTTTGTAAGGAAAAGTGTATCACATATTATTGTTAATATTCATCTGATGCACGGCTAATGTTTTGTTTCGTGTGAAATGTGAATTGCACACAGATTTCATTTTTAAGTCGTTTCTGAATTAAATATTTAGATCATACGTTTTTTCTTTTGGAAACGAGACGGACCCGGATGTTGCAATTATATATATTTGCATGTACTTTACACGCGTAGATACTAATATGGTACTCATGTCAAATTGACAAACATTTATTATATTATATATTATTTCATACAGTATAGTGTTAAGTGTTACGAAACGCCAAATTGTCATAGTATACATTTTTTCCTTAAATATTCACACCTTAAATGCAAATTGTACTATTGTGCGGTTTCAAAATAGTACAATATGCAGGTACAACATTTTTAAGAATTCCTAAAGACTGATATCTAATAATCAAACGCACAGAGAACTTATATAGTTGCATAATTATTGCATTGTATGGCTATTTTTTTGTGTCTGATTGACATCTAGTTTAAACAAAGAAATGAATAATGGAATTACGGAATTAATATTAATATGTAAACTATGAATATATCTTTAAACACTTACAAAATTTAACACAAGTCGATTTAAAGGTATAAAAATCTTGACCAAAATAAACAGAAAATTAGTTTTTTTTCTAAATCGAATTTCCATACATATATCTGTATTATGATTTATATGGACGTAAATGTACCTATATGTTTCAAAAGTAGAACAGAAATAAATACGAATAAAACGTAACAAAAACAAAATATGCTAAATTAATACTAATATTTACTTTTTTTTTGTTTTATCTAACTAAATATTGGCACTTTTTCAATAAATATTTATTTGAGTACTATTGAATATACCTACTTAATATTAAACTATTGTGAATATCGTAGAAAAAAATGAATTTGATTATATTATTACGATGGCGTTATTATTGTGGGTTGCAAATAGTATTGCATTTAGCAGGTATACTATTAGTTTTAACATATTAAATTTGCTTTTGAGTTGGATACAACATTTTTTTTCTGGCCGATTTCGCTTTTTAATATAAAATAGGTACCTATTAATATTTATGAAATATGCCACTATGCTATTAAATTAGTCGAAACTAAACATAAATAAATAATAATGATACACATAATAGCTAAGTTCAACAAAATATCAGATAAACTCAAACGTGAAAATAATTTTCATTTATAATACGAATACTTAATAAATGAATTAATTACAATACAAAATACGAATTCATACCACATAAAGTTATAACATTATTGATATATTATTTATATCGTGTCCACTGTCTATAAAGCATATCAATATCTATATAATTTTTATAAATAGCAATATTATACTAATATTATACAATGAATAAAATTCACATCCATTAGACATAGGTAACAAATTGTAAGCAAATATTAATAAGACATTATATTTATAAATAATAAAACGTTTCAATATTTTAACAAAAGACGAATATTTTGAGTAATATATTAGGCTTATATTATACATAATTTACCAATAAAACATTAAGTAACTATAGACAAGACATATAGTTTAAGTGCCAAAAATCAATTGTAAAAAGTGCTACTCGTGAATAAAATAAAATAGTAATCCTTCAATTAATTACTTATGTCACTATGCCAAAAAAAAAAACAAATTTTAAATTGTAATTTCCAGTTGGATGATTTTAATTGATAATAATTTAAATTATATCATTATAAATAAAAAAACAAAGTAGTTGTTAAAGACAGTTATAGATGGTTTATAATCTTTTTATACTCCTTATTATATTTCTCTAAACTGGATTGATGATCGATATGCAATTTATAATTTTATATCAAATACGAATAATGGTATACCAAGGTCGTCGTACAACTATACCATAGGTGAATACTACATTAAAATTTACAATATTTGTATAAATTATATTTTTACATAACTATGTGCTAGGAATTTTTCAGTGATTCAGAGGAAATTTTAAAAGTTAATAATTTGCATAACATAATTTATTTAAATTCTTCTTAAGGTTGAAATAATTTACTAAAACTACCATAGGTACACTTGTACTACCTAATAGTAGAGTCGTTTTAAATTGTTAAGGATTAAAATTTAAAAACTTGCTCGATTGAACATGGATCATATCTATAAGGTTATAAATTATAATTTATAACTTATAAATAAATTAAATAGTTCGTTACACTGACTATTAAAAAAAATATGGTAATATATACAATACACCTATTTTTATACGTAGCAGGTAGCTGTCATAAGACAAAACATGGTATAATGAGTAACAAAAAAATATTTTGATATTGTAATAACCTAATTGTAATTCGTAAACATTAAACTCATGACATCATAAAATATAATAGTTTTAATGTACTGCATAATGTTACCAGTAAATTCTTCTGATAAAAAAAATCAAATTATGTCATAAAACTGTACAGAAAAAATCATACATATCCTAAATATTATATAACAACGCGTAGATATACGAAAATAATAATTGATATAATATGTAATTTTAATACAAACAAATGTGAAATAACGTCAAATAATTTTGTAACAAATTCATGAGCACCTAGAAATCATGGTAGATTGCACAAAATGTCTAAGTTTACATAGTAGACACACCTAACCCATAATTTTTTCGAACTGCGCAAACGGAACATCACTATATCGGCTAAGTATCATTTAGTTAATTGTATCCGTTGAAATTATATGTAAACAATAAATTAAACCATACCGTCTACATACAATAATACGTTATTTAGATTACTATTGTATCAATTTATAATATATATGTGAATAATATGTATACTAAATTATATATATAAAATAAGAAAAAATATAATTTTATACAGCTACAGTGAACCCAAAAAACTCAATACATTCTAAAATGAAACTCGACTTTTTTAGAACATTTCAAATAAAAGGCAGTCTCAGTCTCTAATTATGATGTATTTCAAAATTTAGTGTATTTAATTTTCGGTGACAGTGTTTATTATAACTATCCTCTGAAGGATACAATATACTATAAACCACAATATAATGATACAGTTTCCTATTTACATTATATAGTGTATAAAATATAATTACAGTAAATAGTAAATACTGAACATATGCGAATAAAATGCAAATAAATAACTATCATATATTATAATTTATTTTTGAAATAACACTTTATATGTCTACAGAGTATTAATATTTTTCTAAAAAATAATATAATATAATTTTGCAAACAGTAATTTATTAGTTTTACCTGTATGACGACGGAGTCTCGATCATCACAATTTTACGACTGTAACCGTAGGAACACTTAGCCTAGGTGCAGGTGTATTTGTGTATTGTTCTGACGTTCAGATGGTTCAGTAATCCAAATTCATTGGCTATGACCTCAACCTCACAATACAAATGGAGATTTTTGCACGCACTAGTGTACACGGCGATACCAAAATACACTACAAAAAACAAAAACAAATTTTTTTTTTTAAAGTTGTATTTTTTTTGTCAACAAATTGCATGTAAAAAACACAATGGGCATTATGAGTACTTAAATGGCTAAATTTTACTTTAAAAATACAATGGAACTTTCATTTTTGCAATAATGATTTTTGCATGAAAAACACCGGCTTGGCTATACTGGAGGAGTGCTGAACATGTATTATTTTTTGCTAAAGTATAAAATATTCGTCGAACAATATTTTTGGTGATGAATTTTAGACGCATATGACAAACAAGCCTTCAAACAGTTATTTTATTCACCCGGACGTTATTTATTACCCCTGTATTGTGTGCAAATGTTTATAAATCAATAATAATATTCTTTGTTGAATACTAATACGCATGGTGCATATATTATTATCAAGTTGTTATCAAAAACTATAAAATCGCGTCGACAACAATATGTGATAATATCACGTACTCAATATACTTACAGTTTTATTACAAGTGAAAACATTTGTACGATTATATCAATACATAATATATTATTATGCCACACACAATAAATCTAGTGGTGCCTACTTGACAGTTTCAATCCGTGTTGAACATTTATAATATATGCAGTATACTAGCTATATCATTACTCGTACAAGGTGAAATAAAACGAGAGTTCAAAGATGTGGTTTTTACCAGCCAATATTAAAAAATACAAATATGTTATTTTACTTTCTACTAAGAATAAAATAGGAAATAAGCTAAAATAAAATGTCGATAAAAAAAAAAAAGGAAGAAAACAATATTGTCATATCATATATATAACATGAAATCCTTTAGGGTTGCCTAAATATAATGTAATTTAACAGGCATATAAAGAACGTTTCGCCTTCGCCATAAATTTCTAGGTATCCAGGACATCTGATCGACATTTTTTCATCACTGTTGACAATTAATATGGACAGGTAGTTCAATAGTTGTATGTTGTATGTATTACCGGTAACACCACATAATATATATACTATAGTGTACACGATATTGATAATATTAATATATTATACATTGTATATACGAGTAATAGGTAAAATAATAATAATGTTATATATGTCACCCGCGATATACCAAGGACAGCATCTGTACTGAACCGGATCATGCAATCATTTTAAAGCATTGCTCTTGTCCTTTTGTGTGTTTATAAATATAAAATAAAAACAAGGGATACACGGATATAGGTGCACGCGTACTGCAACATTATATTATACATTATATGTACATACGCCCATTACGATATCCGGTATTTTATAATTTTAGTTTCGAGTTGCGCTCACATTTTTTACACACTAATGGGTGCACTTCCCCTTTACGGACACGCACCACTGATTAAACCGAATCGGAAGTAATGTAGGGGTTTCAAAACACAAACGCTCTTAATTGGTCATATTATACCCGTGTTAAATGACGTGCCGACATTAGATACGGATTTATACTATAATATACGGACAACTATCAATGGTACATCCAACCACAGCTAGTGGTGGTTTCACGGTCATGTGCGAAAAAATTAAACACCGAACATATCCTGCGTGTATTATATAATGTAATATTAATATCACAGTAAACGATTTATTGAAAAAACTTGTCAATAAGAAAATAATTGATATTGTTAAAATAAATGAATACAAATCGAAATAATGACAAACATGAATTTTAATAATTTAGTTACTATAATTCAAAGCCAAAATATAAAGTTTTATAGGTATTTATTTTTGATAAATAAATTTTATCAAAATTCACAATACAGTTGTTACTAACATTTTTTTAGTATTAATTTTAACATAGAAGCAGTAAAATTAAAAAAAAAAATTAAAACATACACGTAATTCATTAATCATAATTCATAAGTATCGACATTAAAGAGGTCACTTTATAGATTACGGAAAAAGTACACAATTTTATTTAATCATATACTATAGTTGGAAATTTTTATTATTATGCCAATAAACATAGAAATTATATAAAATTAAATTATACAAATACTTGAGGTTGTCAAGTTTATTTAAATTTTGTTAATACTATCTAAATATATATTTTTGTGATTGGTCATCTTAAAAACAGAAATTATTTAAATCAATTGATATTGAATAAAAAAAAAAAATAAACAACATTAATTATCTTTGTAAAGTAATAACATAGCTATTATTAAATGATTGAAGTTTGAAAATATTAATTTTTTTTATGATGCACTCTTGTAAATAAAAAACATCTTTATGTAAAACACTTCTACAAATATCCCACGTCCTTAATATTTTTTATCTAAATAGTTTTTAGTGTTTTTACGTTACAAAGTGCAGCATGTAAATATTCAGTGGTATGTTAATCTTAAAAGATATCATGTATGTGTAAACCAGATGCATAAGATGTCTAAAATGTTGTTAACACTTGCTAGTATTGATATTATTATTGTATATATTATTAAAAGATCAAAGAAAAATCCATTAAAACTAAAACATACAAAATATTACGATATCATTATTAAATACAATGGTTTGAATGTTTGATTATCAAATTTATTTGAATAATAATTCACGTTCTTAGGTTAGGTTAGGCTCGTAGTTGTACGTATAACACACAGAAACAATTAAAATATAAATATAGTAGTCAAATATAGTCGTAATCGTTGACCCTTGTCATGATAAAATATATTTTTTTTTTTTGGTATTATTACAACATGATTAGCCAAATACTGTTTTTAATGGATATTCTAATATTAAAAATTAACATGTAGTTATACATGAAAAATACCAGATGAATTGTTTTCTTTTGAATTTTAATAACAATAAAATGTGTATGGGTGTAAAAAAATCTTGTATTTAAACCTTAAACACACTTTACACGCGACAGTTGAGATGTTTGACAAGCGATTTACCGAAAACCACAAACAAATACATACGTATTAAGTGTACCCACCTAAATGCGTCTCTTTTCCAGAAACATTAAAAATAAAAATAAAAGTTATTCCTAAACAACGATTGTGTACCTAGTTTAAATAAATGACAACCAGCGGGGAGTAATAAGGATTTTCCGGTTACACAGACCAGCAGCCGGAACACAACGCCCTTGTGTTTCAGCTTCAATAAAGATTTCAGGACTAAAACACCAGCTGCTACTGGCTTCAATTAATACAATCAGTGATCTAACAAAATACTCGTATACAGGGTGTCCTATAAATATTTAAAAATTAATAACGGCGACCGGATGATGAAACTGTAATATCCCACTACGCGTACCAAACCTTATAGAGGATCACTGTGGGACATTCTGTACAGATACTCTATGTTAAATATAATAGTTTGAAGCTATTAAAATATTATAAATAATAATAACTCACGACGCTTAATGTGTATATAATATAAAAAAAGTTCTCTATATATCATGCGATATAGTAGTAGGTATGGCGTTTTAAATTAAAAAATTAAAAAAAGTAAAAATGGCCCGGTAAACAATATAGTTAATAATTGTTATTATCGTTTATTATTTATTTACTGTTTTCATTTTTGTAGTATAATAGTATTAAATTATAGTTTATTACGTATATTATAATTTTTATTATATTATACATATTATTTAGAATTATTATTTATAAATACGAATATTTATATATTTTAAATGATACATAATAATATTATAAAGTATAATATATACCTTTTCAAGCATAACGTTTGTTGATATTTAAATATTTACACCACAAAGCGTGTTCAATTTTAATAACTCGGAACAAAATCTGTGAACAGTGAACACCATTATGCGATTCTACACATTTTGAACTTCACGACTTTAACAATATCAGTTCTACTAAGATTTTTCAATTGAATAAAATTAAAAAAACTTAATTAACGCGTATAACATACATGAGAAATAGGTTAAAATAAATAACAATTATAATAGCTCACTTTCATACTAATTTAAATGTTGTTTTCGCAAGCTAATTGATTATGGAGCCATTTTTTAACTAACACTACAAAGTATTTTTTAAGTTACTATCACTATGAATTATTAAAATAAACGCTGCTAGTTGCTACGTTTGTTCTAAAAATATAATCGTAAAATTAAACGTTTTTGAAATAGACACATAATTTATTAAAATACCTGATTATTGTAAACAGCTTTAATACGATTATTGCATTAATATTTTGACAGAAAAATATATATCAATATAGGAGAAAAGCACATGGGTGTATAAAATCATCGGTTATTACATCCCACGGACTTCTAACCCAATAGGTAAACGTGGGTAGCAAATGTCTATGAAACTTATACAGTTATATGTATTGGTAATTTGGACCAAATAAACAAATATATTTAATAACTTAAGAATACACATAATAATTATTATGAAAGAAAAAAAATATTTTTATGTTAAGTAATATTTAAATATCTAAAAAAATATATAGAATAACAATATCACTATGATTTAAATGATATTACAAAATTATATGGTCAAAAAATATATATAATTATGTATTATATATTTATTTAGAAATCACAACACAAAATAAATATTATTTTAATTATGAATACTTAGTTCTTATACCCATAAATATAATAATAAAATTAACTAAAATGAGAAATAAATTACATTTTCTTATTTTAATCACAGGAATGTTTATTTTATTTTTAAAATTAGGTACATGTAACTAAATGAAGAATATTTTGTAAAAAAAAAAATATGTTATTTTACTCATAAAATGTATGGAATTTCCAAATTTTTAGTACTTATTAAATACTTGAATTTAGGAAAAAATAACACATGATAATCGCACTGTTTAGCTAAATTTAATAATTTTAAAATATTAACAGAATAATTATTATACTCTTAATATGATAATGTTATTGTTAATTGAACATGTGTAAGCAAACGCATTTTTAAAAATTGTAAAAAAAATAATAATAAAATAAAATTAATTCAGTTTCCACTGATATTATGACGTAACGGGTATTTAAAGTCATTTTTAATGAACAACAAAGATAATATCCAAAGCAACAGATGTTTCGTTAATTTCTAGTTAATTAAAACCACGAGCACAGTGAAGTACATTATAATATGAATAATATGATGTACTGCCCACACAACAATCAAACGTGCGTAGTTACTAGTTATTCATCGAACCATTTCGTAAAAGCAATGAAGCATAATATTATACTATATTACGGCACAATTTTTAGCGACTGCCGACTGGTAATATTGATAATAGTAATTCCTATAAATGTCTATAAATAAATATTTATAATGTATTATAAACTTTCATCACAATAATAGAATAATATAATTATTATTATACACTGTGCCTGTGCGTGTATGTATTGTACATAATAGTACGATGTGTACCCGTGTAGACGGAATGAAAATACTCCAAACACAATTGCTCACATTCTTCACAAGGCCGTAAGTGTACAGCACTAATACGAAAAAAATTACCCAGGAATCCGGCGTAAAAAACTAGTTGACCATATGGGGGGTTTTCACGGCCCGGTGATCCCGAAAAGAATTTTCACTGTTATTTAGTGTAACAACGTTTATTTATTTATTAATTTTTTTTTTTTTGACGCATCATACACTCGACATGGAATGTGGGAAAATAGATTTTTTGATATACCATTTTCATCACGCCGGAACCTATGTACCAACACAAAATATGACGGAGGACAAAATTTATTATATTTAGCGAATCTTTTGTCAAAGGACTCATTTTTTTAACTTTTTTAAATGGATACATACATTTTTAATTTCTCGTATCAAAGCAGAATATTTTCTGAAGTATTCCAGAATGTAAGAATTTTGAACTAGTAGCTTATGAGTAATAAATATTTAAAAATTAGCCAACAAGATCTTCACTAATCTATAATTGCCTGTTAGTCCAAAATTTGATTTTTATAAATCGAAATACTCCGGATAATATTCTGTTTCGGACAAATGAAAACTTAAAGTAATATATTATATTATTAAAAAATAATAATAATAAATAAATAAATAAATAAATAATGAGTGTTTGATAAAAATGATCGACCTCTTATTATATTATTAAAATATATTATTATGTACAGTAGGACGTTGCAGTATAGACGTTCGAAAAAAAATGCATTTACGTCTCATTGTGCGAGAATATTATCGTCTCGGGGGCGGCGAAAAATGCAATGCACATGAATAACAATATCGGTAGTCATTACCTGCGGGGCTGGCGACGGATTTCGGTCGGGCACGGTGAAACGTCGCTGGCTCGAAAAAAACGTGTAAGTACTCGAAGCGCCCGGGGCCGGTGCGGCGGAGACAGCAGCGGCGGAGACGAAACCGCGACGACGACAACGAACGCGAACGGACGACGGACGGATAATGAATCACTGAAATATCCACGCGCACGCACACCATCCGGTTTCGAGCGAAACGCACATGTCGGCCGGAGAGGAGCCGCCGCCACCGCCGCCCCAGTGCGGCCACGCCGAACGCCCGAAACGCGACATATTATTTTCGTGTCGTGTCGTTTTTGTTTCTCGTCAATCTATATAGTGTTTGCGTTTTGTCGCTTCGTCGAGTCTGGTCCGGCAAAACGTTAAACGACGCATTTCTTCATCTGTCAATATTCAAAGTTTGATAAACGTTTTTTTTTAAATTTTTTTTTATCTCATGTTTCCCATAGCTGACGTCGTAACGTGTTCGCGTTTGACGAGCGGCCTAAAGTTTCGACTTGATTTGTGTTTCGGTTAAAAGCGAAACACGAGACGTGTTTCCATTGAACAATTTAAAATCGGTAACAAACGGCGAATACACAGTGTATCGGTGTTTTAACAACAGAGTGTTCAAACCCGCTTGTTCACAGAGCAATATACTCGTAATATTGTTTTGAACACTAAATTGGTTGGTATGTTTATAAATGTTGCAGTTCGTTTCAATGTAACAAAAGCAACTGGCGATATCTGTCAACGTTTGAGTACCTAACTATTTTTTACCCAGGCGCGTGGTCCAGGTTTAATATTTTAAAATGCGTTCGTGAAATTTCAATCAGAAAAGCACAAAGAAAATCTGCTTCAACGCTCGAACACGACACGCCGAATACCAGACACCCGGGACAGCGGGAAATTGTTAATTTGTCGTTTTTGGCGTTCTAATAAAAATTGAAAACGAAATGTGTGATATACACTTGTTACTTGTACTATTAATTATATAATAGAATATAGTCTACTCTATAATTTATCACCGTACTAACTGCTGTAGACAAAACACGCCGACGTTGATCCGATCAGTGAAAACACTGAAAACTAATATTTTTGTTTTATAGCTCTAATGACCCCAAGTAAACCCGTATGTTACCTGTTTAATTTATTAACAATTGGTTAGATATTAATAAATATTAGTATGGGAAAAGAATGACGTTTGCTTTCTAATATTTTAAAATATCTGTGTTTTGGTTTAATAACTTTAATAATTATAATTTATAATAGAAGCAATAATTATTAAACATTATCATACTAAAGGTATTAGGTGATACATAAAATTATAAAATTCGATTGCGATTTAAATTAAAAAATGAATAGATACAAACATAAATTTAACTTGTAAAATATGCGCATAAAAACCACTATAATGTGTAAAGTAAATTTTAAATTCATACATTCAGTCTTACGGATATTCTTTAATATTCTACCAAACGGAATTTGTTATCCATATGGTAAGTATTTTGTGGTAACTGACACAAATATGTGCTTAATTTATAAGAGCATACCTATGTCATTGTACACTAATAGTTTTCGATTTATCTAGTTGCGATAAGGCCCTTGTTGAACTTTAGTGTCTGCTGCAGACTGCTGTAAAGACGACAAGTCAAATTCGTTTCACTCCAAACGTATTGTACCTATACTTTATAAATCAACCATGTTACACTTTAAACTGCAGTTTGCAGAAGCAGAACTTACAGCTGCTGTATAGACGTATAGTGTATATACTATATAATAATATCAAAGTTCTGCAGCCCGCTGTAATTGGTTTGTTTATCATTATAATACTGTAACAATCAACAAGATTTATTGTAGGTAATTTGCAGTTCATAATCGAATAGCGAACTTCATATACAAAACACGCATGTAATACACATTGCATATAGTCCAATAGTCTGTTGCACCGTAATAATCAAACTTTCGTATTGCGATTTATGTCAAACGGACTATTTATATCGAGACCAAATGCAGAGATCGTTTTCAGCTTAGAGGAGGTGACATTTACAGAACGTTCATTTACTGAAATAAATAAAACACATATAATGTAAACAACTTGATATTATATCACTATATTTTCAAGTTAAAGTAATATATACAACTTACTAGTAATATTAAAGTAGTGTGACGAAAAATTGAAACTTACTCATTAAAATATATTTATATTTTATAAAAATTACACGATAGGTATATTGACTTTACTTTAAATAAAATGTAATATTATAATCTAAAGATCTTGTTTTAGTGTTCAAATATTTAATAACGCTAATAATAAACTCTAATATTTGACTATAATATTATGCTACAATTTAGATTTTTTAAGGATGAATATCGTTCTGTTATGGAACATCAGATAAACTGAGATAGGTAACACATTCTTATCACACTCGATTCGAAAAGTCATCAATTTTTTTTTTTATGTATACTGTATTACTGGGTAGAGTACTCTCAAATATTAAATGAAGATTAGTTTTTATAGACTACTTGTAGTATCTATAATTATGGGTTAATTTATATACATTGAATTTATTATTATTATACTCATAATAACATTATAGAAGCAATTAAGGTGACAATGTGTACCTTATTCATAAATGTATGGTCGTATGTGTATATAATCAATAATTTAACGTATACATTTAAAATTAAAATTATAATTAATCGTGCTATTCTATTTTATATAATATACCTCATTTATGTGAGATGTCCAACCATGTTATCAAAAATTATTTGTGTAATAAAAAGGAAAAAATAAATGACAATATGTGAAAAAATTCTTAAAACGAAAGTAGACATTGATATACTAACTTAAATTATTATTATTGGAAATAATTGCATACTCGCATTGTCGTCGTTGATTATAATATAATATAATTTATCAATACTTGATAATAATGATAATTGACAATATATCATGTGTGTCAACTGAATTAACTTCATGATTACTTAACGTTGCACCAGATGTTTATGATTAGTCATCACACAATATGAGCATAAATTGAGTTACTTATCAGTTATCTCCATACCTATAAATCCATAAAGGCATTAGACACTAACATTAGATCACTTTATATCAGCAATATATTATGCTCTTACCAATATCTTAAAAAAAATGAATTTCAAATATGATATGTAATACACTAATGTCTAAAAAATATTATTGTTAATTATCTAGTGTCTAAAATCATCAGATTTTATGGCTGCTTAGACATTTTTCGTTTTACTTATAACAGAAGTGTAAAAACTAAAAAGTATACAACATAATAATATAATAAATATCATCCAGTATCCACCACAAAACATATTGCATCGCGGACGTTACACATATGGACACATTTATTAAGGTCGAGATTTTACAACATCCATGTGTTAGGTATTATTTGTACACCAAAGAAAACGGTGTGATTTTTCGGGTGTTTTTGCTGGAATTGTTGTATAAGCGAGCCTGTCGTTAACATTACCAAATTGAATTTATAATACGAGTATATATACCATATTGTTCACATCACACATGGCTACCCTATAAACTGCGATGTTTTCAATATATTTGTCGTCATTATTCGGAATATAAGTATTATAAGTTATACTCAAAAACATGTGGTCAAATTCAATATAATAATGTAATAGTCATATTATGTATACAACAATAGAGAGTAGAAGTATGTCTAATTCTTAGAAAAAAAATATATATTTACTTTTAACCAATAAGCGAAATTATAGATTGTTAAATATACACATATGTAATATAAATTTATAGTATTATAATACAAATGTATATAATTATTATTTACCATATTGGAGTATTCACTACAACTTCTGAAACTTATATCTCTTACAAAAAAACAAATAAACACTTTTTACATGGATGAATATTCTATATGGACGTAATAAATTCTTTAATAAAAAGGAACGAATAGAAATACACTAAAAAATAAAATTGTATTAGTTAATGAAAGAAAAGTGTAATTCATAATTATTTCAACAATTATAATTTATGAAAGCTAATATATTATTATAATTATGTGAAAAATAAAATAAAAATTAATGATAAATATAATTACACGATCACAGTGGTCAATAAAATGATCGAATAGTTGAATTGGAAAGACTATAAATATGAATAAAGGTATTTTTAGGTATTTTACTAAATCAATAAACTAAATTAACTTTTATATATAAAATGCAATTCAATAATAGACTATTTTTTTTAAATTCATGATATAAAATGTTGGTTACCTTTTTAATATTTCTATTAGATAATGTAGTGCTCAGAGAAAAAAACATAATAATAAACAATTTTAAAACATATCTATTTACATGTACATGCTATAAAAAAAAATTATAAACATATTCGTGATGTTGTTTGCTTGTTAGCGTGTAATACAAACCAGAAGGCCGATTAACAATCGTTTGTATTTTGTTAGCATTTCTCATTTTCTTTGTAAAATGAAAGTTAGCAAAAAGTCATGATGATTTTAAATTGTGTATAGAAATAAATAAAATGTTGACATATATTTAGCCATTAGATATAACTCAATTAAAATATAATTCATATTAATAAGAGAAATAGTTTTGAATATTTACTTATTATACTTATATGAGTAGGTGTAATATTTTAAGCTCTTTAAGTCTCCATAATTGTCCGGAACTACGATTATATCGGTTCCAAATATAATATAGCGTCCCGGTTTCCCAATTTAATATTTCTGTTTAGCCAATTATTCAAGAATTAAACTTCAATAATTATTAATTATTATGTTAACATTTTGTTTTTATTTATTAAGTTTTTCTAGTAGAAAATCAATATTATTTTGATAAATAATAAAATGAATAAGCTGACTGACAAAATCTGAAAAAATAGTATGTAAAAACTTGTGGTTTATTGTGTAGATATAGAAACTATTTTCCTCATAAAAATATACAGAGAAATGTTTGTCCCGGTCGATGTAAAATAAAATATGACCATCTTACATTAACTTCTTGAAAGAAGGGTAAATTTCAAACATTCTCAGAAAGGGTAAATTTCAAACATTCTCGGAGGTGTTAAAATTCTAAATACGGCTCGGTGTGAACAAGCTAGGTACTAATTATAAATTATTGTAGTAATATTAGT